GTTTTACATGAATGTTGCTGTATCATTTATGGTCTTTTAATGCTTACACTCTGTACACGTCTACATTAGAAATGTGGCTCACAAAATGAGCCAAGTTATTCCCTTTGTTCCAAATGATTTTTTAGTATTTGGACACTACAAAGAGTGAATCAGTCTATTAAAGAGGCTCGATCTGCTTAATTCTTTTTTGATTGAACTGCACTTTCCAGACCTCAGTACAATGATACTTTCAACTTAATTTTGCAAAAAAAGCACTTTTTTCTGTCTCACAACCACATGTACTCATATTTACGAGGGAGTATTAGCACCACATTAAAAATATATTTATCAGTGATCATTTAATGTCGAAAATTTCAAGATTAAGTTGAAATAGCGGAGATTACCGTTGTTGTTTCAAGACAACCGCTGACTGAGTGAAAGCTTACATCAGAATTGGTTTTAGTACAAGGAAGGAAATTATTCCTGTTTAGCACACAAACATATTCAAACATTGAAAAGATCAGACGCAAACACACACAAACTCAGAAGAGTGGATTTACACAAAATCAAATGTCTAATAATGGACAGGTGCAAGGTTATCGATGGTTACATCCTTGTGCATAAAACGTCTTGTGAATTTGTTTCACTAACTCGTCTAAATAAGGCATTTTGTACAGGGTACAACAGAGTGGCAGTTTGTCGTAAAACAACAAGGATAATTCCACATTTCAATGCATTTTTTCTTAATATGGCCCTAATACTCCTTGCTGACGTCAGCAAAAGAAAGGAGGCACAAGAGGCTGAAAAACCGCAGGTTGCCCCTCCTTCAGAGCAGTGGACCCCAGACTTGTTTGGCTTCAGCTCTGAGCGAGCTTGTAAACTTGTCCATGATCTCAAAGCTCCGAGGTTAAAGGATCAGAAACGGGTGAGTTTAATTGCAACATTCAGCAGAGCAGAAAGTCACACGGTGCTTCTCTTAGATGTCGCTGGTTCTTGCAGCACTTTAGAGATTCCCAGAAAAAAAAGAGCATTTCACAGCCTATGTTGCAGTGTATGATAGAAATACACAGCCTGCTAAATATTGACAACCGCTAACAACGACGCCAAATTCTAAACCAGAATAAGCAACACGCAGATACTGCAGTGAAGGAATTGAATGCGCCTGCAGTTTTTCTTTTAATGAACTCATTTTGTCACTAAATGGCTGTGAACAGATGATATTCGCATAGTCCCTTTATAATAATAAGAGCCTAATATATAATTTTAAGGTTTTGACGTTTAGAGACATCTGATTGTTTCATGGTGAACTTCACTTGTTGGACTGTTACTGTCTGTTTGCCCTGATGTGTGAGTGTGGAAGTTGCATCTTTGTACGGAAAAGAAAAACAAAAATGTTGGATCCACTAAGATTCTGGGTGTGAATGTTCGCACCACTCCGTAGTCAACGGATTTCGTAACATATAAATAAAGAAATGGTCTCTTTTGTGATTCCCTTTTTCCAAAACTGATTGGAGCTTTTACCCTCTGCCAGAAGTGTTCTTTGTGCCTCAAAATGCCCGCTCAGCCTCATTAATTACTGCCTCTCTGTTAACGGTTTGTAGACACCAAACAAGTTCGTGCGAGCCTTTGTCTCACTCTGCTTTTACGAATATTTGGCAGTAGGGGGCACTGAAAGACCTGTTTGTACATTACATGTGCTCGTGTAGCACAAATCAGGACCAACTAAAGTTTAGACTTTCATGCAGTGTTCAGTTTGACTTCCTGCCTGAAACACGGAGCGGCAGCAGCAGGACGAAGTCCTCCTGCTTGGCCTTCTCTGCACACTGCAGCAGTTGATGAGTTGTCTTTGGGTCAAAAAGTAGCTGTTGAGGATACATTTAGCAAATGAACGAGATGAATTCAAGTATATTTTCTTGAGAGTTGCAGAAAAGAAAAACCTGAGCAACATCTTTGCAAATTCTAGGTCAGGGTGTCAAACTTAAATGAGCTGCGAGCCACTGCTGGCACTGCCATGTTATTGGAGGTCCACTTTAGTGTTCAAGTAGTACAAAAACAAACAACAAGAAAATTCCCACAAATATTTATGAAAACGTAGTGTTTTTTAAAAATTACAATTATTGTATAAAAAGACAAAAATGCAAATGTGAACATTTCTTTCTCGCTCTTAACTAACTGAAGCCTTTCATTGAACTACCAAACAACACATTACTCCTCTCTTTCTGGCCAGACATGTGGCAGCACTTCTGCTATGATTTTGTTCTTATTTAACAAAATAAAAATGCAGATATAAGTGTACACATTAGTTTTTAATTGCTAGTCAAAACTATTTTCTCTGCTCATATTGCCTTTTTATAAAATCATTCTTTACTTTTAAAAGAACTTATTTTAACAGTGCACATAACAACAAACGTAATGCACTAACAAAAAGTAAATTGCATTATATTTCTTAACATCAATATACGGGTCACAAGTAGAGGTGAGGGTGGGCCGCAAGTGGCTCCCGGGCTGCGAGTTTGAGAATGCTGTCCCAGCAACAGCAACAGTCTTAACTGGCGCTGTGTGAATTGAATACAGAACACGAGTCTTAACCTGTTTCCTGTCTCGTTCAGTGCTGTCTGGCAGAGACATGACGGTGATTAGGTGCAAAGTTCTGCTGTTTCTAGCCACCATCCTGGTGTCTTGCAGCTCTTCACCCACTCACCTGAACATCAGAGTGGATCGTGGGAAGCTGCTGAGGTCGAGCAGGTCAGTCACTGTGAGTCACCAGCAGGACAATGCTCCAGAGTTTGACAGAAGTCACTACGAGGCCGAACTCTTAGAAAACAGCCCGCTGGGACAGTCTGTGCTGCAGGTCAGTCCAAACACAGGATCATTTAGAATTATCATTTTATATAAACTAATAAAACAATCTGTTTGATCAAGGGACTGAATCACATATCCACCATATGTTCTCTGAATCCAGCTACCAAGTGTCAAATGTTCCTTGCAGCAGTGCCACGTCCACAAATAACTTAATTTAAAAACATTGGTGCTAATAATTCATCAATAAATGATGTCAAATGATTTCTACAGTATGTCCATGGCCCAGAAGAAAAAACAAGGCGTACATAATTGTATCCCACTGGCAGATATTTTTTTTATTATAATTTTATTATTCTTTTATTTCCTATTATTTTAGTACTTGTATTATTTTAACAATTACAAGTAATTTAGTGATAATTTTGGAGTGTTTTAGGCACTTCTTTGCAAACTTTCCTGAGCTCCATCCCAGTTTTAAAGGTTAAATGACATTAAATAAAAACATTACTCTAAATCCCAGATGATCGTTGCACAAATGCTGTCAGTCAACACTCACTCTTTTAATTGCACGGACTGAATGCAATTAAAAAGAATAAAAGTAGCTGTGTAGACAGAAAGGCCTTCTAACATCCAGCGAAATATTTTGCTGACTGCTTGTACCTCCAGAAATATTAAGTAGGTGATTTTTCTCTTGTAGCCATGCAACTCCAAACGGGGTTCCTGCAAATTTTGTGGTTTTTGTTCTTGTCTTGGACAATGTGAGGCTGAATGAAGTGCCCATGTTTTTCTCCCTTGTAGGTCAGAGCCAGTCATGCAGACATTGCCATTGGAGAGATGGACCACAGCCTTCATCAAGTATCAGAGACTGTCCAAAGGCTTCTGCGCATTGACAGTGTGACAGGCATCATCTATGTGAAAGGCCTTGTGGATCGAGAGGAAGAAAGCATCCTCAAGTTGTTTGTGGTGGCCAGAGATCGTGACCCCAGTTCCAGGATCAAGAGTTCCAAAGTTCTGGTGACCATAAATGTCACAGATCAAAATGACAATGCACCGACCCTTAACATCCAAGGTATAGGCTTAGTAAAATACCAGGATGGTGTGACTAAGATTTCTGAGGACCTGCCTGTCGGTACACCAGTGGCACTGGTCCAGGTGTCAGACTGGGATGAAGGGGAAAATGCTGTGGTAACGTGTGCAGTTGATGGTGATGTTCCATTTCAGCTCCAGCCTGCAAGTGATCAGAAGGGCAAATACTTCCTGCAGACAGCGACCCTGCTGGATTATGAGAGCGTTAAAAATTACAGTATTGAAATTGTTGCTGTGGATTCTGGAAGCCCAGCTCTGTCCAGCACTCTCTCCCTCAATGTCCAAGTTACAGACGTAAATGATAATGCACCGAACTTTTCCCCTGCAACGATTGAGGTGGACTTTCCAGAAAACAACTACAGAGGACAAAAATTACAGGATCTTGTGGCAACAGATCCAGATTCTGGCATAAATGGACAGCTTGTCTATAGCATCATTGATCGTTTTGCCAAAAGGCTCTTTGAAGTTGATGCCAACACTGGGGAGGTTCGTGTGAGAAGCGTGCTGGATCGGGAAGAGAGGGACCGTTATGTGTTCTGTGTGGCAGCAGCAGACATGGGTGTTCCTAGTAAAACCGGCACTGCCACAATAATTGTAAATGTTCAAGATCAAAATGACAATGACCCTGTGTTTATACTCAAAGGCTGCAGCTTTACTGCTGCAGAGAACATGCCTCCACCCAGTCGTGTTGGTGCAGTTGCTGTCTTAGATGCTGATAAGGATGAAAATTCCCACCTAAGACTGTTTGTGGAACTGGAAAATGGCAATTTTTTCATCCAAAATGGTACAGGAATCATCTTGTCTAGAATCTCCTTTGACCGTGAGAAGGAACGTTTCTACACGTTCTGCCTAAAGGCCGTGGATGGAGGTGACCCACCTCGATCCTCCTATGTGGGTGTGATCATCAATGTCTTAGATGAGAATGATAACGCTCCATATGTCACCAAACCAGACAACTCCTCCTACACATACCTGTCATATTTCACCCCAGCAGGCACGTTTGTGGAGGCAGTGAAGGCTGAGGACACTGACACTGGGCTCAATGCTGAGCTGGACTATTTTATTGTAGGTGGAAATCCACATGGTCTGTTTCAAATATCTCCCTACAATGGGGAGATCACACTGGCACTGGAAGTGACCGGCAAGCACAGTGGGCTACATCGGCTGGTAGTGAGAGTCTGTGATGAAGGCAGACCTCCTCTCTGCACCACTGCACTGGTCCACATTTTTATCAACGGTACCGAGTCCAACATCTCCCTCATTGAGGCGCTGGTCACAGAGAGCCTCTCCACCCCTTTGGAAAAGGACGTTGCCGGAGATCTATTAGGGAGCTCTGCTCTTGTTCAGCATAACAACATCCTGTACGGCAGCCTCGCAGGTATTGCTCATGTGATTCAGACATTCAGCTCTATAGTTTCTAATACGGCCAAAGAGGATTCCAACTAGAGTGGTTTGAAAATATATTTTACAATCAATCTGTCATGTCACTGGGACACAGAGCCAGTGCTTTATGTTTAAGTAATGAACTGTTAGTTCAGGTTATTATGATTTGTGATCTTCTGTTTGTTATATTCGTAGTCTTTGAATTAGGGTTTTCTGTGTTGCTTCCCCGTGCCTCGTCATGCCTGCATTGTCCCCAGCTGTGTCTCCCTCTGGTTTCTGTGAAGGTTCTCAGTCATTATAGTCTAAGGAGCTTGGAAAGAAAAGCGTCTGGACTTCTTTAACTTGCTTGAAGCTGTTTCACTCTCATCCAAGAAGCTTTTTCAGTTTTAGAGTCAAATGTTGGAGAGTCCAACATTTAAACCCTATTGGAGTATCCCCCTCTTGTGGGGGATACTCCAATAGGGTTTAACCTCCTAGGGCCTGGCCTCCTAGGAGGTTAAATGTGGACATCCCATTTTGGGCTGTCTAGGCCAAAATACAAAATTTTGCTCTACAAGGGCCTGATATCCACTTACGAGGATGTTATACTGCCACTGTTCTATCAAAATTTAAAGCGAAAGTCCTCATATGTGGATCTCATTTTTCTCAAAAACTAAGATCAGGCTAAAAACAAACTAATGTTATTCAACTTCCAGCCACACAGCTCATCGTGACTTCATTCACTGATTTCAAACAACTTTTAGAATCTTCCAGTTCTGTCCTGTACGCTATATAAGCTGGTTTTCTTTCTAATCTTGTTTTTGACATATTTAATATCATGGACATGAAATCATTCATCTGTCTGGTTGAGCCGCATTCTTGGTAATGTAGGAATCTACTTTTGACCAGGAATACGTGGAAAATTAAATATGATACTTCTCCATTTTGGGGGTGAAATGTAACTCGCTGCATTGTTTTCATGTACTTCATGTGAGCATTTTCATCGTAGATGAATATATACTTTTACTTTATTACACAGCAGAGGCAAATATGTCATATTTACTCACTACAATGACCTAACACCTTCACTGTGTTTAACTTTGTTAAAGATTAAATAAGTGCTTCTTAAACATTGTTGTTTCAATGCATATAAGATTTCCGCCCCCTGTTGGCTCTCCAGGAAACTGCAGGTCTTCCTGGTCGTTGACAAATGTTTAGTGAATAACAGAAACACACAGTATTAAAGATTTATACCGTCTGTGGTAAATTACAGCTTAAAAACTTGCGTGTTCAGTCAGACATAAGTAGCTCTAGTTAGCATGTGAATGTGATGTTTACTTTGGATTATGGAACTTTTTATTATTATTATTAACGGATTCAGTATTTATTAAACTCGGTGTATCCGTTGTTGCTTTGGAGATGCAGAGACTGATTAAAGAGACACGACGTCACTCTTTCTACTCATACCTGAGCCAAAGGTAACGTTGATGGAAAGGCGGTAACATCTATTTCAACTCGGTTTATTTCTATGGCGCAAAATGAGAACAACAGTCGCATCAAGGCGCCTCCGTTATTCA